GGGAGAAACCAGTCCTGCTGGGGCCTTTTGGATGGAAATGACACTGGGGAGGTGGAGGGGGACTGCAGCCCCTGGGGAGTGGAGGTGGCCCCTGCCCCTATCCCCTCTCAGGCATCAGGGCAGGGGATTCCCGAAGCCAGGGGCTGTGGGGGTTCGGCTCTAGCTCCCAAGAAGCCTCCCAGGGCCGCTACCTCCTCCCCCGTGGTGGATGGATCCCGGCGCTTTGCCCGGAACAGCTACCCCGGCATTCCCAGACTCTGGCACAAGCCGTGTTCAGACCCCACTAGTTCCCTGGACTGGGCTGTCAGTGTCCAGTGCTTTCTTTGAAACGCCTCTTAAAAAAAAAAAAATAAAATAGGAACCCCCCCACAACTAAAAATAACTGCTGGAACTGGGATTTACCTCAGGGGGTTGATGGGATGATTTACCCCGTGGGGCAGATGGGATTTACCTCGGGGAGAAGATTTACCCCATGGAGCAGATTTATCTTGGCTGTTGTGGGATGCCGATGCTTTCCTGGAAAACCCTGATTTAAAAAAAAAAAAAATTAAGTAAAAAAACCGGGAAAAACACGCAGCTAAAAATAGCTGCAAGAGCCGAGATTCACCTCGGGGAGAACAGCTGGAACGAGAAAAATGCTCCTGGCCGAGTAAGCCCGGCGTTACTTTTACCACCCCAACTACACTGCAGGGGTGGAGAAAAGAGGGTGAAGAGGGCAAAAACTAATACCGGGGGGGTGAGTGGTGAAGGTCGAGCGCGGCCCCGCCGCGGTGCCGGTGGCCCGTGATCCGGCTCGTTCGCCTCTTGGCAAGCGACGGAGTCTGATGCAATCGCTGCGCTGACGGAGGCGGCGGTTCCCACCTGTATTTGCCATTGTGTGCCCGGAGCTGTTTGCAGGTGTTTGCTGGCGCCGCGCTGTCTGAGCCGCACTTCCCTCCTCCTCCTTCTCCTCCTCCTCCCGCTGCTGCCCCGGCCAAGGCCTGGCCCCGCGGCCCCCCCGCCCGGCTCCGCGCCAGCAGCGCTGACACAGATGCTGCGCGCACACGCGTGACCTTGGCCAGGCGCGCTCACGCGGGGAGGGGGGTTCTGGCCGCTGAGCGCGGGTGTGCACACGCACGTGTCTACTCACATACACTCACTGACACGTGTGGCATGAGCATATTCACATGTGTGTCCATGTACGCACACATGACTGTGCATTTGCACACACCTGTGTGCACTTACACACGCGTTCATGACACTGACACGCATGTGTAAGTGCACGTCACACGGGCAGATGTGCATACGTGACTGTGTTCAGTTACACACAGCTATGTGCACTCACACATGTGTATTCAGATGCTGACACGTGTCCAGGCACACTCACACGCAGGCATGCATTTACATCCATGCCCATAAATACTTACAATATGCCTACCGGGCACTGACGTCTGTGCACACTTAAAATACAGGCACACTTATGTGGTGAATGTATGCATACGTGAATGCACTTACACACGTGCCTACACACGTGTGCATGTATGCACAGGAGGGCTCATCCTGCAAACCAACCTGCGTAGGGGCTCAGCACCCACTTGGTTGGACCTCCCAGTGATGCTGTGGAATTAGAGGAAGCTGTTCCTGCTCCCTCCCCACCCCGGTGGAGACCATCCTCCGTCGTGGTAGCCAACCCGCTTGTTCCTGTCAGCCCTGGTCTTCCCTCTCCCACAGGTGACATCAGGGCTTTGTCCCACGGTGGGACTGAGGCTTCATGCATGTCCCAAAATCTGTCGGGGACGAGGGAGGGTGGATCCGCAACGGCGCGGGCCCCGCAGCCGCGACTCGCTGCTGCCGTCTCCAGGGCAGAGGAAGAAGAGCCCGGGTCACCGGGAAGGTTCTCCCCTCGGGAAGATCTGGGATTTCAGATTTCCTCTGGTGTACCCTTGGAAACGACCAGGATTTGCCCCGATGCCTATCCCGGCAAAATTTGGGATCTCTTCTGCTGTTCTCCTTGTGAAGGATCAGGACCTTCTCTGATGCCCTTTCAGAAAGGACTGGGAGCTTCTCTGTTGCCCCCATTCCAGGCACAGGGATGTGTGGCATTGGGCTGTGGGGGCTGCTGACCACGTGTGCTTGCCTGGTGGCCCATCACATGCTCTTTGGACAGTTGTTCCCCCCAGTCTGGGCAGAGCCATAGGGCAGCCCCACCCCTTGTACCCTCTCTCTCCTGGGAATGTTCCTTGGGGAGGAAATGGGATCTCATTTGGGGTCCACAGCCCAGCTTCAGCCCCCTGCTTTTGGGACATAGTCAACCTGCTCCTTGTGCTCTGCATCCTGATGAGGTCCCTCACCTCCAAGCTGAATATGTAAAAGAATTTCCAGATCCTGAGGTGGGCGATGGTGGGGGGGCTGTACCCCTAAGCCTCTGGTGGTGCTCTCTTGGTCTGCAGAGATGGCAGCAGCCCAGGCGTAGCACCACTATTGCATGTGCTGAATCTGCACTGGGAAAAACAACATAATTACTTGTTCTTCGCCATCAGCTCTTCACCCTGCTTTTGGGGCGCAGTTCAGACCCTCCCAAGACCCTCAGGGGAGAAGCTAGGAGAGGTCTCCTGGCTACTCCTCTCACTATGGCCAGAACAGTGATGGGATCTTTCACCTTGCTCCAGGGTGAGGAGGCTGTTCAAGGGGCTGATTAGGGGTGCTTCAGGCCATCCACGAGGTCATTCCAGACCTCTGTAACATGACAGAGTGAAATAAATAGTCTCCAAGGTCCTTTCCAATCCAAACCCCTCTGGCTTGTAGGGTGGAAGCTGGTGCAGGGCCTGCCCTTCTGGACACCTTGGTGTCACAGGAAGATACAAATCTGTGTCTTCCGGTATGGGAGAGGACTTTGCTGGTGGAAAGCCATGGCTGTAAAAGGCTTATTGAGCAAATATTGGGTAGTGGGAAACATGCCCTTGACTCACAGCACAGCACAGTTGAGGGGATGAGGGCCAACAAGTTTTCCCACCTTCTGGGTCAGCCCTTACCCAGGGCTGTTGGTAGTGAGGTCACACTACCAACATGTGTGGATGTCACCTCTGCTTTGCCCAAACTGGAGGATTTCAGGACACAAGCTGCCAGGCCCACCCCATACCCCAATGTCCTTATCCCAAGAGTCATCCACTGGAGCGAGCCCAAGGCAGGCAATTGACACAAATTTATCCACACTGCTGGTCATGGCCTTGTCTTTGTGCACTGGGATCAGGACAGCTTTGCCTTCTTCCCACAGAGAGGTAGAAGAAGGTCTGGGTGGATTGATTTGCCAAGCTCAGCCACACTCCTGGCACAAGGGTTGCACTGCCCAGCTGGGGTAGCGTCGCTGCTGCCAGGCCTTTTGTTCTGCCTCAAAGTCTCGCACGGTGGGAGGCAGATGACTATCCTTGATCCAAGGCTCCTGGCACATTTCTAGGTGCCTCTCCCAGCTGAGTGTCCTTCCTTGTCCATAGCAGAGGCCATGCCCAGCATGTGTATCCTTCTGTCTTTATTCCAGGAGTCTTCTTCACACAAAGTCTATCTCTGTACATTATTATCCTTATCCCAACCTGAGCATGAAGTTGGCTCTTCCTGAAGAGGAGAATGATGGAGAGAAGAAAAATGGGGAGGAATGAATGGGTGGAGGCATTTGTCTCCATTACCAACCAGGTAATGGAGACAAATCAGGGAATGGAAAGGAACCAGGGGTCAGAGACAAACAAGGTGATAGAGAGGGACGAAGGGAAACCAACTGCTGTGGCTTGGTTGCCTCAGCAGAATTAAACCCCGGCCTGTCTCAGTGGCTGTGGTGGCCTTTTACTGGTGCCAGTAAGGGTCAGAGTTGCCCTCGCTCGGGAGTTTGCCATTGCCTCGGTGATTCCTGTTACTGCTGCACTCTGAAATACCCTGTAGGCCAGCTTGGGTGCCCTTCATCCCCTTTTTCGCTCTCCACTTAGCCAGGAAGACCTGGTGCATTCGTTCCAAGGACATGGGTGGGGTGCATGTGGAGCAATGGGTGGCAGGTTGAATGAACTATGAGTGAACCAGGGGCCAAATCTCCTCATGCTGAGCCCTTCTGAGATCCCTGCCCTCCCCCAACAGCACTGTCACCTGTCTGCAGGGTGGGGAGGTACCTGACAGCCTCTGGCTGGTGGAGGCCAAAATTTTTGTTTTAAATAGAGGTGGCTCCCTCTCCCCTACCCTGGGTTGCTGTAACTGGGGATAGGGGTGGGGGAGCAATGGGAAGGGTGGGATAAGGATGAGAAGATGAGGACTGGGGCTTGATAGGGGTTGGAGGGTCGCAGCCCCCGGGGTGGACCCCACCAGATTGATGGGGGGGGAGTATCTTCGAAAAAATAAGTAACAGAAAATGTATCCTAGTCCTGATCCCTAACGCAAAAGCCCTCCGCCCCCAAAACAGGCACCCCTACCCCCAGCAGGTGGTCTCAAGAAGGTCCATCCCCTTATTTGCATCGATGACCCCACCCGCCGCGCGGCCACTTTAAGGTCCCTCCCGGCCGCAGCGGAGAGGCGGGGCCACTGCGGCGACAGCCAATCAGCACGCGGCGTTTTCCGCGGGAATTCCGAATTTCGCGGCACGGGTTTTGGCGCTTAAAAAAAAACCGGAAAAAAAAAAAAGAAAAGAAAAAGAAAAGAAGCGCTCGGGGCCGGGCGCGATCGGGCGGGAGTGAAGCCGGGCACGGGGGTCCCGGCCCAGGCGGGGCCGCTCTCCGGCCACCCCGGCCCCATATGGCCCCAGTGCGGCTGATTTTTGGGGCCAAAAGCGAATTTTCCGCCGGTTTCGGCGGCATCGCCGCCGCATTCGTCTCTGCGGGTTTTTTTGGGGGCAATTTGGGGACCGGCCGGTGACATCGCCCGCCGGAACGCCTTCTCGCTCCCCCAAAATGCCCCGGCTGAGATTGTGACCCCCCGCTCCCGGCTACGGAATCGCGGGGTGCTCCTGCCCCCTTCCCCGGGCCGGGCTTCTCAGAAAGGACTTTGCAATGCTGCGGGTCCCCAGGGGAGTGTCCCCCTCCCCGGGGAGGGGGGGGTACCGCCCTCCCGCCTCCCCCTCCCCACCGCCACCCGAAGAAGGTCATGTCAGTGACGGTCTCCTGTGATCCGGGGGCTCCCAGCCTGGGCAGCCCCCCGTTATCCGCAGGGTGTTTCACCCAGGTCTACACGCCAGCGGCTGTCAGCGCCCCCGCTTTGCGGGGCGGGTGCCTCTGTGACACCCCCCAAGGTCCCGAGCTCAGGACCCTCTGTTCGGCCTCGGCGGGACGGCTGCCGGTAAGATGTCTGCATCCCGTCTCTTTCTCGGGTGCTGCTTCAGGGGCACGGGAGGCTAGGGATGGTGCTGGGTGGGGAGCAAGGAGTAGGTGACCTCAGCATGTACAGCCCCCTCTCAAATTTTGCAGCTTATATTGGAGTTTGCACCCTCTAATGTGTCTTTCTGGGGGTGGGGGAGGGTGAGGTCTGAAATCAGAAGTCGCAGTGAAATGGCTCAGATGTTTCACAACTTCCCCTCGCCCCTGCGTGCCCGCGGCTCCAGCTTCCGCGTCTTGGCCTTTTTCGGCCTCATTTCCCTTCTCCAGCTTGCAAAAAGTCCGGGTTGTGCCTCAACACCCGGTCAGCAATCCCAGGCGCTTTGAGAAGCCCTTTTTATGGTGGGGAAATGAGGAATGGGTACAGGCAGAGCCCCTGCCTGCTGTGGGCAGGGGGCACCAGCCGTGCCCACTGGCTCTCCCCACTTTGGAGCTGTGACCCCCAGAGGTGACCCGGGCAGGTGGGGGGACACAGAACAGGGGTTGCTTTCTAACCTTGGTTTCTTCCCGTGGCTACAGTGGGGCTGGCAATGTCAGATTTTTGGGAGGGGTCTCATCCTCCATGGATCACCCCAAGGCTTTATAGCTCAGACCCTGGTGCTGCGAGTTGAGTAGGGGGTTGTTGTCCCATATCCCTGCCGCCAAGCCACGGGGTCACGGTTGTGTTTATAAAGCCCAACACTAAGCTACAAAGCTACCCCTAAACAGAGAAAGTGAGGCACAAGTGAGGCTGGCCCCGTGCCCATTGTCAGGGCACACAGGAGGCTCTGACCAGCCTGTCCCTGCTCCCGGAGGGCCCCCTCCGAGTCGTCGGCCCCGCCAGCAGCTGGCATTTAATTCCTGCCTGCTCCAGCCTGGGCACACATCCAGCCCTCACTGTGAGCCTCTGTTTTCCTCGGTCCTGGGAGGGATCCCAGACCCCACTAACACTGATTTAGTGTTCCCAAAGCTTGATTTATTTATTTATTCCTCTCCCGCCCCCTCCCCTTTTCCCAATCCCTGATGCTTGGTGCCAGCTGGGGACATTGCTGCAGCGGAGGGAGAGGGAGTGTCTTTGCATCCCCGTTTGTGCCATGGCTGGGGGGCTGGATGTGGCTGTTTCGAGTTCCATCCCGGGGGACTTTGGGACCACCTGTCTCCTCTCCGCCCTCTTTGTCTCCAAACTGTGTGAGACATCCTGCATTGCCAAGGTCTGTTGTTTAAGAAGACACCATCATTTCTGCCCCCTCCCTTAAAAACACCCCACAGACTCCCAGTACCATTTCTGTGGATGTGCAGAGCTGGTTTTGGGCTAGTGGCCCCTTTGTCATCATCATCATCACCCACTCCAGTGCTCAGGGTACTCCTTCCTGCCACCGTCCCCTAAATGTGGCCGGGGAGTGGCCTGGGGGTCTTGTGTTACACTTGGGACATGAAGTGCTTGTCCTTAAGTGACATCTGGGATGAAGAGGTTTTGGGCTACCTGCCTCTTTGTCATCACCACCATCATCACCCACACAAGGAGATGTTCCGTGTGCTGTTGCCCACAACCATCCCTTGAGCAGGGTCTGGGGGCTCATGTGACAACTGGGGACACGACACACTCCTCTCTCCCCCTTGGTGGCTTTGGAGAGGCATTCCCCCCTCTCCCCACTTCCTGCTGCCATTTTCCCATTTGTGGTGCTGAAGATACTGTTTCCAGCCCCAGTATGGCGCTCAGAGCCCTGACAGCTGGGGTTCCTGCCGCACACACCCTGTTTATGGCACAGCCTTTGTGTGCAGAGCCGAGACAATCAGATACCAGCGTTTCCTCCCAGTTCCCAAGCAGGGCAATTGCAGCCGCTCCTAACGGCTATGTGCCACATGAGTGATCTGGGATCACATGGAGGAGCCTCTCACCCCACGGGAAAGCAGGATGGGTTGTCTCTCACCGTCCGAAAAAGCCTTATGTTTACCATACTCTCCAATTTGAGGGTTCTGGAGTAATTAAATGTGTTTTCCTTCAGGGAAAAATGTGTGTTTTGGAGTGGTTTTAGCCCATGCCAATCCCATTGTCAGTGTTTGCCCATGTTTGGTCTCTACAGGGGCTTAGGGCTGTGCGAGAGCACTGGAGAGAGGGGTGTTTCTGCCATGGGATCCCAGCTCCTCACCCTGAACAGGGACAAGAGTCCTCTGTGGTTCTAAACGAACTGGCAGGCCTGAGCCATCTGTGCAAAGAGCACCCAAGACTGGCAGCACCTGTGGGTTGTGGGAGAACCTGCTCAGCAGCACCCCAGATTCTACAGGGGTGACATAGTCCCATCCCACCTTGATCCCATCAAAGGGTTTTCTGCATAGGCGAAAGGGGGGATTTTTGGGGGAGGGATGGGTGGGGAAGTGGTGATTGTGCTGCTGCCCTTGGAGAGGCTTCTTTGGCTATGGCTTTTAAAGCTCCTCACTACCGGGAAACATCTCCCAGGATGGGGCTGTTGGAGGGGATGCAGATGTTGGGTGCACCCTAGAGTAGGGAGCAGCGCCTGGGCTGAGGGTACTGTCTGCTTCCCCAGTGCACGGTGGTCTCACTGTCTCCCAGATCTGGGATCAGCCTGCATTCCCCTGTCTGCCTCTCGTGCACTACTAGCCCTCAGCCAGCCCAAGGCAGTGGGGGACCCACCTGTGGGGGTGTGACCCAGCAGCCCCTCAGCACAAGCAGCAGGATCCTGGAGTGGCCCTTGGCGCCCAGCCCCGGGCGCTGCGTTCCCACGCCCCCGGTGAAAGAGGGAACGGGGGGAGCCCTGTGAAGGGCCGGGCAGAGCCCGGGCAAGCCCGGAGAAGGCAGCGGATGCTGCTGAAAGGAAGGTTGGCAGGAGGAGCCCTCCGCGGGGGGGGGCTGAGGGATGCTCTGATGCTTGGGCTGGGCTCAGGGTGTAGCCCCTGGCGCCAGGGCTGGGCTCAGGGCTGCTTGGCAGGCAGAGCTGGCAGGGGGCCCAGCCTGCCCCCTCACTGCCTTATATACACCTGAAATTTTGGGGTCAAGCCTGATTTCCCACCACCATATTGTGTGTAGATGGTATGTTCCCACATCCTGGAGAGCCATGGATGGGGGCTGGCAAGTGGTGTGGGGTGGTCCTGCCACGTCTTGGAGGGGGTCTTCGGGTGTGGTCCCTGTTCCCCTACCTACTCTGGTTCATCTTCCCCCCCCCACACCCCTTCCCCCAGTGCCGGTAGGGCGCTTGGAGCCTCTCGCTGTGCCCCACTCAGCTGTTGTGAGCCTAATCCTGCCCAGCTCGGGGGATGGCAGCTGGGTCACAAGAGGGAGCCCCTTGTCCATTGTCCCTTGCTGGTGGGTCCCAGAACTCAGGGTCCTGCCGCTGTCTGAGCCCACTAAACCCCCAAAACTGCACCTGGGGAAGCAGGAGTCCCCTTTATCCCCTCCTACACATGGGGACGGGGGATTCGGGGGCTTTGGAGGTCTCTGGAAACACCAGGACCTGCTGTGGGTTACTCTGTGCCTCAGTTTCCCCATGGCTTGGGGTAGGTGGGGTGCAGCTGATCTCCCCAACAGTGATGGCAACATACATTGGCCATGGCCATCCATGCTGGAGAAGCAAGGGATACCGGCGGGGGGCAGGGTGCTGGCAGATGGATGGGGTCTTATCTGAGGCAGGTGTTTCCCATGCGCTCAGCATTAACTGTTGTGGTGCCGGCAGCTGCGGGGCAGATCTGGGGCCACGAGGCTGGGGTTGGAGGCAAGTTCACTGGGAAAAACCTGCTCGGGGAAGGGTGGGAGGGAACAGATTCCCACAGGAGCTCGGGACCAACCTGGCTCCCTGGGGGGGAGGAAAACAGCCCCTGGCGCCTCTCCCACCAGCCCCCTCGGGTGGGAACGAGGCCGAGGTGCCCAACCCTTCCCTGCACAGTGCATTGTGCTCCCAAGGGAGCCGCCGTCGGAGCCGGCACAGGGACCTGGGTGCCATGCGGGACGTACTGGGAGGGACCCTGTGGGACAGCCCGGCCTGGGAGCAGGTACTGCTGGGGGCTTGGGATGGGGCTGGGGGGCTTCTTTTTGCTGTTGAGCCAAAGCATTCCTCCACAAATCACCCTGCGCGTTTGTGCGTGTGAAGGGGTCTTGGGGGATTTGTTTGTATTGGTGGGGGGGGGGGTTGGTGACAGCCTCCAGTTCTCCTGTGGATTTACTCTGCTGTATTTTTCCCTGGGGCCCTTTGCCCAAGTGCTGCTCAGGGTTCCTTGGGGGGTTTCAAGGAGCTGCTTGCCGTGGTGAGGGGACAGCAGGTGCAGGGATGTTTGTCTCCCCTCCCAGAACCCAGCATATTTCCCTCACCCCAGTTTCCCTCCAGCTGCGTACACGCGTCCAGGGGTCCCGAGGGGGCTGAACCCAGCTGGTCCCAGGTGTGCTGGTGGCAGCTGGGTGCCCTCGGCTGCCTCAACCATGACCTGGTGGGAGGGGGGAAGTGAAATCCTGCACCCCAGTGGGCAGGGTGGGAGGGTGAGAATCTGGCTTTGGAGCTGCTGCATTCCCAGGGGTCAGCGCATGGAGCCCTGCCAGGAGCTGGGGGTGAGGGGGAATCCCGGTGGGTTCCCTGTGACTTGCCAGGGTGTGCAGGAAGTCATGGAGGGTGACGGGACCCCTCATCTCCTCTCTGTCCAGTTCTCCCAGTGGCCTCTCATCTCACTGCTGGGTGCTGCTGTGCCCCTTCCCAAAAGGAGTATTGCAACTGGATGAGCCTCTTGCAGGATTCCCTCACCCCAGGATGTGGCACCCGGGGCTTGGCTGATGGCCCTGGGGCAGTGTGGGGAAATCAGAGGGGTGTCTGGCTTGGCCACAATGCAGGGTTTTCTCTCATGCTCCAGGCCAAGAGGAAGCTGGACCTGGAGGGCCCTGAATTTCGCACGCCCAAGGGGAAGGGCTGGACACTGGCACAGGTCCCCAGCCCCAGGAGTAAGTGATGTGGGGTGAGATGGGGCAGGGGAAGGTGGGGGGAGCACACCCCACTTCTCTTCCCTCTTAGAACCATGTCCCCTCTAGCACTACCTCATGTCACCTCCAGCCCATATCCCACACAAAGGAGAGGATGGGGGGGGGTCTCTCAAGTCCAGCCCAGTGATACCTCCATCCCACGGGCCTGGCTAAGGAGAGGATGGGGAGATCTCTTCTCTCCAACCCTATATAATCTCTGGCCCAAATCTGACACTAAAGAAAGGAAAACGTGGCCTCTGATATCTAGCCCCATGTTACCTCCATCCCACATCCCAAATTAAGGAGAGGATGGACGGTCTCTTTTTTCCCCACAGCCCCCAAGTCTCCTGGGGAGAAGACTCGCTACGACACCTCACTGGGGCTGCTCACCAAAAAATTCATCCATTTGCTGAACGAGTCTCCTGACGGTGTTGTGGATCTGAACCGAGCTGCCGAGGTGCTGGAGGTCCAGAAGCGTCGCATCTACGACATCACCAACGTACTGGAGGGCATCCAGCTCATCCGCAAGAAATCCAAGAACCACATCCAGTGGATGTAAGTGATGGGACACAGGGATGGGGCAGGGTGGGGGACACGTGGCTTGGGGACACACGTAGGGTGTGCTGTGCTGTCACTCAGATGCCATCTCCGTTGGCAGGGGGACAGGGATCTTTGAGGATGCAGCAATGGTGACGAAGCAACAAGTGCTGCATGAGGAACTGGCTGAACTGGCTAGGACAGAGAGGATGCTGGACCAGCTCGCGCAGGACTGTGCCCTGCAGATCCAGCAGCTGGCTGACAATGAGTCCAACCAGAGATATCCTTGCTGAGGGAGATGGGAGGGAGGGCAGGGTCTTGGGCATCTCTCTGAGCCCCTTCTCCTCCAGCTGTATTCCCCTGGGCTTGGGGGGGTGCTTGGAGGGATGCAATGGTTATGTCCTGCTTGCAGCCCCTCCTTTTCCTATACCTCGTCCCTGTCCACGCTGGCATATGTCACCTACCAGGACCTCCGTGCCATCAGCAGCTTCCAGGAGCAGACGGTGATTGCCGTGAAGGCTCCCCCTGAGACGCAGCTGGAGGTGCCAGACTTCAGCCAGGTGTGTGTGGGTGCTGCTGGATCCGTGACACGCTTGATGGGTCCCTCTGGGGTATCCCAAGGACACAGCCTAGCATGACCCTGGGTGGTTTTGGGGTGTCTCCATGGGGCTGTTTGACTCTGAGCTGGTCCTTCAAGGGTTGCAATGCCCCAGTTGGATCCCTCATGGGTTGGGGGTAGTGGAGTTGGATATGGGTGACCTTCTGGGTGCCCCCCCTGAGCCTTATTCTGCCCTCCCAGGAGAATTTCCAGCTCTACTTGAAGAGCACCAATGGCCCCATCGAGGTGTACCTCTGCCCAGAGGACATCATGGAGGAAAGCCCCAACAAGGACCACCCTGTACCCTCTGCTGTCACTTCCCCACAGGACCACTCTGTACCCCTTTGCCTGACAAACAGCTCCCCATCAGCCACACAGCCACTCCACCCCATCTCCCAGAGCTGGGGCAGCACAGGAACTCCTCTCTCACCCCCATCTCTGCCTCTCCCAATCCAGGGGGGACCCAGCTCACTGCTGGAGATGGAGCCTGGGCTCCTGGGCTCCCCTGCCCACCTTCTGCAGCAGACAGAGGATCAGCTGCCATACACCCCCTCCCGCCTGGAGCTGGGACCCTTCGTTGCTTTCTCGCCCCCCCTGGAAGAGGATGACTATCTCTGGGGGCTTGAGGGTGAGGGTGTAACAGACCTCTTTGAGACATATGACCTGGGAGACCTGCTGAAGCACTGAGTGTCCTCCAGTCCCCATTGCCTTTGTTCCCTCCGGCCACTTGTGTCCTGAGCATGTGGAATCTGTGGGGTGACTGGAGAGATTGGGGTATGTTGGGGAGTACTGGGTTTTCTGAGGACTGAGGGGAGAGGGGCCTTGTGTTGCTCACCCAGTGTGGCTTCTCTGCACTTTCCTGGGTTGGTTGTCACCTCACTGGGCTCTGAGAGTGCCTTGTGATCCAGCCAGGACCCATTCCAGCATCCCCCAATAAATCCATGGGGCACCGATTCCCACCATAACCTCCCACCACCCTGGGCATGCTGGTAGACTGGGAGTGCCTTTGGGTGCCCCACATGGGTTAGGGGTGCCCTTGGGTGGCAGAGAAACTTCGTCCCAGAATGGGCTGTGTCATGGTTTGGGGTCATTCCAGTTGCTCCTCAGTTAAACTGCTTCTTCATAGTCACAACAGGTCATTTCCAGTGGCATTTTCCCCACCACAGCTGGAATATCCTTAAAAAACCATTGAGGCAGCAAAGCCGAAGTCATCTTTGGTTGAGGGAAGGATGAAGCTCTGGCAAATCTCTAGCCGCATTTGGAGCCATATTCCCTGAGGGGCTGCAGCCCCTCTGCCCCAGTGCACACCAGCTCCCTCCAGCCTCTTGGAGTTGCTGGTGCTGGCAGTATCAAAACTGGAATGTACTGGGAACAGGTATGCCTGGGGGAGGCAGAGAGGGGCTTGGGAAACAGCTTGGGACAAGCCCTGGGACATGGGGTAGGATAGGGCTTTTAACTGTAGCATTCTTTGCTAAATAGCTGTAATTATTGCACTGTATTTATCCGGGTTCCCCCTTTGGTGTGGGGCTGGCAGGGCTGGGAGGGGTTGGATTTGTCAGTGGGTCTATTTAAGTTGTCCTTCCTTGGGTTGTTGGTGCTCCTCTAGGTTGGCTCAAGAGATGGTGTGGGTGAGAATGTTTTGGCCTGGATAAACTTGTGACACTTGATGTTTTCTGCCCAGGAGGGGTTGAAATAAAATAAAATTTTGGTTTTATAAAGGGCTGTTTTCCTCTAAGCAGCAAAATGTTGGAATGGTTTGGCTGGAGAGGGGAGCTGAGCTGGTTTTGCTCCTGTTTCAATGGCCTTGTTTGGGGCCTTTTAGCTGGCCAGTCTGCTCTGTAGGCACTTGTGGAGAAGGGGTTGGAGATGAAGCTTTGACTGGAGTGAGGAGAATGACTCTGACCTGCTCAGATTGGTGATTTCCAGCTCAAATCTGGCTGGATTGAGCTTTTGCCTGAGCTAGAGCCCCTCCAACCAGGAGTGTGGGAAAAGTCCCACCAAGGCTGGGGTTCAGCTCCCTATGGATTTCGGGGCTGGGTGGGCTTGTGCACCCCAATTTGAAGTCTGCAAAGCAAGATCCTGGGGGAGCTGTGTCCGTGTAAGGTCCTTCCCCATGCGTCTCCTGTGACCTGGGGATGCCACCAGTGCTGGTGGCAAAGTGACGGTCAGTGGTACCAGATGATGTCCTGTGGCATGTGGTGGTACCCTGCGAGGATCTTTGAGTCATGGGGAAATGTATATATTGTCCTAGTGAATATCTATATTGTATTTGAATATATATCTGTTACCAATAGAAAAAGGGGGAAATGTAGTGAGAGTCCTATGTATTGGATTATTGGATAAGTGGGTCCTAGCTATTCTAAATGAGTCACAGCTGCGAAGTCCTTAGTTGGGCAGCAGCTGTGGCTCGTAAAGATAGCTGGGATAAAAGGGGTGGGGGTCGGGAGTCCAGGCTGAGCCTCTTTGGAAGCTACGAGGAATTGCACTACAGAGAACAGAAGCTAGAAGGTATGGACTCTTTAAGAATATAATAACAACAATACAACAGTACCCGGGTGATTTCCGGTGGTACCCAGAGATGGCTGATGGTACCTGGTGATGTCTCGTACCCGGGATCGTGGCACGTGTTGGCGTTGCATAGTCTGGTGGCGTGGAGGAGGAGAGCCCCGGGCCAGGTGAACAGGGCGAGGGGCACAGAGGCCGCATCCCCCGTGGGGATGAGTGTCCCACCGCGCGAAAGGGGATCCCCCTGGACGGTTTGTCCCCGCCTGCGCAGTCCCCAGGCCAGCCAGGAGGTGGCAGGGCCACACCGGCCAAGGGACCGCAGGTACCCCGGGGGCAGCGGGGGGATCGGGGGCTGCCTGTCTGCTCCGAGGCTCTTACCCCAAATCCCTGCTGCTCCAGTCCTGCCTGGGCTGCAGCCTTTTAACCCTCTGCCTGCCAGAGCCCTGCCGAGGGCTGTCCTGGGAGCTCGGCAGATGTTGGCTGCTCCCAAACGGGGGGAGGATACCTCAAACTGTGGGCTCGCCTACCTGCCGGTGCCAGAGAGCTGGAATCTTTCAAGCGTAGCTGTTCACCCAAGGCTTGTAATGGCTATTCCTGTACCCCAGTCCCTCTCAGCACCTCAGTAACAGTGTGTTAGAGGAGGACTTGGGCTGGTCCTGGGTAGGCACATACCTGTTTTACTGAGCCCCTCTCCTAGCTCAGTAAAAGCGTCGAGGGTCTGATTCACCATGGGTGAGCAGTGCAAGGGGCATGGGGAGGGATCTGCAAAGCCCCCTTGCACCCATGCTGGCCTCTCTAATGGCAAACCAGTCACAGTGAGGCTTTTTGCCCCTTTCTGTTCCAGTTTGTCCACAACCCCAGTCCTGCAGTGGGATTTGCTCAGTGTCTGTTCCACCTAATTGCCTGCACCTGAGGTGCCCTGGCTTCCCCATCCTCCATGAAGAGCAAATAAACAGGAATGGGACACCAACTTCAATTGAGGGGTGGGACAAATGAAGGGACGGGAGAGGGAACAAAGAGGTTGCCTCCAGCGGGACAAAAAGCCAAAGGCTCCAGTAGTTATCCCCTGTCCAAGGATTGTACCCTCACGGTCCTAGGAAGGGCAGGGTGGGCGTGACCTCCAGTTAAACCGGTGTTTGGAGCGGACTGGGCATAATCCTAAACCATCACTGTGTGTCTCCATCTCCGACCAAGATGGGCAGAGGTGGTTGCTGGGGTGCCTGGGAGAGGTGAGTGCTGGGGTGAGGTGGGTTCCGGGCGGAGATGGGTGCTGGGGTCCCTGGGTGCTTGGGTTAGGTGGCTGCTGAGTGCTTCGGAAAGGGGGGGTGTTGGCGTTAGGGGGACGCTGGTGCCTGGGAAAGGCGGGTGCCGAGGCAAGGCTGGGGGTGCAGATCCAGAAGAAAAACCGCAGGGTTTTCTCTTCGTGCCACCAGAGCACGGGGGAACCCCGCACCCCCTGCGTCCCAGAACTGGGGTCACTGGAGCAGTTCCGGGGGAGCGCCGCTGCTCTTCGCCTTTAACGTGCGGATGGGCGGGGCCGCCGCGTGACGGCGGAGGGCGGGAGCGGGCGGAGGGAGGCGCGGCGCGGGGCTCGCGGTGCGGGGCGCGGAGCCGGGCTGAGCCGGCACCCTGGGGCGCTCCGCAGGGCAGGAGCGGAGCCCCCGGTGCCCTCCGCACCATGCCCGAGCAGCTCAGCGTGGCCGACTTCTTGGCCGTTGCCAGCGAGGACCTCGGTTCCCCGGCCGCCGCCTTTGCCTCCAAGATGCAGAAGTGCCGGGGGGCCGTGGGGGCTCTGGAGGAGGTGAGCGAGGCCGGGGGCTGTGGTCGGGGGGTCAGACTGCGCATCCCGCCTGGGAGCATTCCCCGCATCCCGCCTGGGAACACCTCCGCACCAATAGGTGCTAGTCTCTTGATGCTTGCGCCTCCCTCGGTCTTCTGTTTTTTAGAGCCCACCCTTTCATCCCGAGACTACGCTGGTCATCCTGAATGCGTGGTTTGGGACCCTCAGATGGGGGGGCCGTTTGTATCTCCCGAGCAGCCCCATCGTACTTTTATGGGGAGCTAAGCCTGTCGAAATGAGCAAAGGCTTCTTTAAAGCTCCAAGTGCCCCCCTCACGAGGCCAGGACATATCCCCCATCACCCCGAGGCCAGGGCGGCCTGTTTCCTTATTTGTAGGGCCAGAGCATCCCCACCTACCTCTCCCAGGGACCAGGACATGCCCTCAGAGAATCAGCCCCACATTTCTATCCACTATCGAGCTCTTGTACTGGAGCCAGCCCCGATGGGATGTGGTGTCGCTGGCGGGGGGGGGGGGGGTGTCTCTTCCTTGGGGAGTATTTTCAACCTCCCCCAAAGTCATCGGCAGCCTTTTTGGGAAGGGTGAAGGTAATGGGTTGCCTTCATCCTCCTCCCGCCTGGAATAAAGGCAGTTTCCAGCTGGTCCTGTGGCTTTTGCCAACTCCTCTTAGCTAAGGAATGACTTTGAAGGAGAGCCAGAGCTGGCAGGGAGTGGGGGGGCCCCCAGTGCCAGGGCTGGTGGAATACCTGGGGGCAGTGGGATGGGTGTCCCATGCCTGGCGATCTGGGAACACACCATGTGGCATCTTGGTCTCCGTCAGCACATGCTGGTCACTGTCATGGATCCTCTTCCCAGTGGGGAAGGAGGAGGCAGCTCTAGCCAGGAGGGAACAGCAGGATTTTTGTTTGGCTGCTTGGAGAGGCTGTGGTTAGGGATGCAGGGATGGGGAGAGATGCGTCCCTCGGGAATGACAGGGAATCTCTGGGATTGGCTTAGTAAAGCTCCAGCAAGCATGAGAGATAGCTGGGAATCGTGACTGCTGTGTCATATGTGCCATGGAGGGCACAGGGCTGAACCCTCCATGCCACTGGAGGGTCTGGGGAGGAGGCCAACCTCCTGCTAGACCTTTGGCATGCCCCTGGTCCTAGCACGAGGGGAGAAGGGAAATCTGAGCAAACCAGCTCCCTGCTATCTTTGGAGCTGCAACATGGTGATAGCATGAGGCAAGGGGGATAATCAGTGGTGGATTTGGGGATCACTGCGGGAGGGGAGAGATGCTCTGTGACCAAACCAAGCCATAATCCATCCTGTCACCACCCCAAATACTGGCAGGTGGCTTGGTGAGCAGGAGGGAGCGAAGGATGCTGGTCAAACTCCAGTGACTGCTGAATGGGAAGGGATGGCTACATCCCACCAGGACCCTGGGACAAAGCATGGCCACCTGCACCCAAGATAGGAGCTGTTCTCAAATCAGGGGCAGGAGCGAGCAGGGAGAGGACTGGAGATTGCTACTCAACACTAAGGAGACATCCTGATATTGCCCAGAGCTACTTTGTGCCTCAGTTTACTTCCTGGGATTAAAGAGGGTCCTCTCCCTGGGGTCTGTGGGACTTCAGGATCCCTGGGGCTGCTGCAGAGACAGAGCCTGAGGTCTCTGGAGTGGGCTTGGAAGGCTGAATCCAGCCCTTGGTGGTTGGTGCTGTGTGCACATCAGAGGGGACTGGGCACCTCTGGGCTAGGGCAGGGTGACGTGGCAGAGGCTGATGTCGCCCTGTCCCCCAGGGCAGTGCCACATACTGCTCCTGGCCTGACAGCTTGGCACCCTGGCTCTGGCACCCGTGGCGGCTCCTTCGCTGGGTAGCACGAGCCGGCAGCAGCGGAGGAGGGAGAAGAATGGCCTCCATTGAGCATCCTGCCTGAGGTCCCTCGGCTGCGAGCCCAGCTAGCTGTGGTGCAGGTGTGCATTCATCCCTTTCTCCATCCCATGGGGAATTCCTCCTGCTGACATCCCTGTTATGCCGATGTCCTCAGCTGCCCCCTGACCAGAAGCTCTCGAGCTGGGCCTGGGGGATGATGGATGCCATCGGGGGCTCCAGACATCTCTGCTCCTCCACTCCTGAGCAGCCAAGGACTGTGTTCCTAGCAGCCAGTCTGGTACACTGGGGATGCCAGTGCTGCCTGCAGGTGCCAGCAGCACTATACAGTGATTCCCTCTCTTAACCACCCAAATACTTGTCTCTGCTTGCCTGTGCCCACTGGTAGATGCACAGATCCCTTCCTGAAAGCCCTTGTGTCCTTCCCTGGATAATCCCTGCTCTGCACCAGCCCTGCATTCTGCATCCAGCACCTGTGAGCTGGCACCAGGATGAGCTGCTCCATCCTGGACACTTGAAAGGAGCGTCTTCCCACATTTTCCCAGTGATGCTTCCAAAGCATCTCATGCTACCTCAGTTTCCCCTTCCTAAGACTCTGCCAGGTTTGCAAGCCTGGAGCATCCAGGCATCCAGCCCCGAGTTCCCCCAGAGGCAGGGAATATCTCTGCTCTGGAGAGTTTGGTGCACCTGGATGTGACGCAGAGATGGGCCATGAGGCGCTTTGGTGCACCCCAACATTCTCCCCTCTGTAGATGCATTGCAAGACTCCTGAGCAGGGGCTTTGGCTATCACCTCAGTCCCAGTCTGCTCCAAGCCAGTTCATCCTGGCAGCATCCCATCTGACAAAGAGAGCAGTGCTGAAGCTGGGCTGACCCTGCTGTCAGGAAATCAGCCTTGACATCAGCCCGAAAACCTTCAACAGAGCTCAAGCAGAGAGAGCCTCTTTATTGTAATTCCTCCGAGGTTTCATCCCTGCCCTTTCTGCTGTTCACGCCCTCTAAATATTTCCAGCCTGTTATCATGGCTCTGGTACCTGCAGCCAAGCCACCCTTAACCCTTTCCTGATGCTGGGGCCAGCGTGTGCTCAGATGCTTGTGCTGGCAGCACCACAGCCCCTTGCACTTGGGTTGAGTGGGGTGAGTTTGTCACAGGGCTTGGTGGGGTTGAATTTGTTGTGGTGCTTAGGGGGCAAATCAGAGCTATACAGATAGGAAGAGATGGGAGGATGGGGAGAGCTGCAAACCAGAGCAGGATCTGGGTGATGGGGTTGCAGGGGGACTCATGGTGCTGGGGACCGTGGGGCAAGATCATGCATGAGCTGGGGGGTTTGGAAAGCCACATTGCTCATTGTGGGATTGTTGTGGTTTAGCACACAATCAGCATAAGGGTTTATGGGATTTAGGTGCCCATCAGCAGGACGTGGGTCCTGTGAGAGCTGAGCACCCTCACACATCTCGCCTGGTTCTGAGCCATGGGGATGGGCTTATGTGATACATGATGCTTCAACTCCTCCTTGGTTGAAACAGTCCCTGCAAGAGCCAGCGAGGCTGGCTTTCTATTAAGCTTTCCATGCTTAATAGAAGCTGCTGGGATCCAAAGAGCCTCTTACCTCCTCCTACTGTCTTGCTCAAACCCTCCTCTCTGTAGCCAGCCAAAGCCCTGCCTGGCAGCAAAGCTATTGGGACCACAGTCCTGGCAGGAGACCGGCTGGATGCTGTGGTTCCAGCATCCCAGGATGCCTCCAGCTCCTTTCCCAGCCCTGGGAGCTTGGATCGCACCCCACACATCTGCACAGTAGAGTTGCAGCCTTTCCAAGGGCCAGCTGGGCTGGGGGAGTGGCAGCCATGCTTGGCTAATGAGCTCCATTTGTTTTCTCTCTTTGCTATTGCAGAGCCTGGATGGGGACCAAGCTGTGCTCCAGAGGATCAGGAAATATATGAAAGCTATTCACATCTCCGGGCTCAGTGAGTTGGGCTTAGGGAGATGATGGGCATTCCCAGAGCATGGGGCTGTGGGTGTGTGATAGCCCCATCCTCCACCAGCAATGGTCACACCGGGCAAACCCAAAGAAAGTAAGGAGGTGGATGCTAGCTGCTGATGGAACCACATGATGTGACCTGATCATTTGCTTAGATGCAAAAAACTGTCTGAAATATATATGAAAAGGAAAAATTGAGAACCTTAAGGAGGTTTTCTGTGGCACTGCTGCTGTCCTGCATTAGGATTGGGCCAGCTCTGTTAGAAGGGGATGGAGAGATGGTGTGCCCCTAATGTGTTGGGTGCTGCAGGGTCACCGCATGTCCCTCTTTGGTGTCTCTCCATACAGCCCACGTGGAGAATGAAGAACAGTACAGTGAGGCCCTGGAGAACTTTGGCAACAGCCACCTCTCCCAGAACAACCATGAGCTCTCTACCGGCTTCCTAAACCTGGCGGTCTTCACCCGTGAGGTCACTGCGCTCTTCAAGAACCTGGTGAGCTGTCCCACATCCACTTGGATTTGGAATCCCCCACCAACCAGTGCAGCTCCCCTCCTTCCAATTTAGCTGCCCTCCACCACATGCAGCAATCCCTACCTCCTACCTTGGGCTCAGGGACACATTCCCAGTGCTCTCAGACCATCTGATACCCTCGTTACTGGATTTATAGCTCATTCCCAGCTCCCTGGGGCCATTGACACTGGGATCTAATGGGAAGCTGGGGCTGCTATTTTCATTTTTCCCTTTTTCCTTGCTTTCTGTTTTTTTCTCACATCAATTGCATTTCTGATCTCGCTTGCCAAGAGTAAATCAAAGCCATGCTGGGCTGCACAGTGGGGCCATGGGGAGCAGGCAGAGGCGGCTGTGAGCCGGGCCAGGAATGGCTCCGATGGAAAACTCAGGTCCTGAATGGAGCTGGGTTCGTGCATGCCCAGCAGCAAATCCCTGGGGGGGGGGGGTCCCATGTCACCCCCTCTCTGTTCACTTTCAAATCCCCCTCTCCAAAGGGTGTTTTTGGCCCCTGGCTCTGCTTAAAGAGGAAATTGATTTCTGCTGCCCTTCCCCCAGCAAGAATTTCAGATTTTTTGTGTGTTCCTCTCCCAGTTACCCCAATCTGGGCCTCCCTCCTCCTCCCCTTCCCCATCCTGGCTGTCATAGCCTGCTGGACTCCTGTGCTCCAGTAGAGCTCTGCAGAACTGTCCTGATGGAGGAGTTGGACCAGTTCTGAGGGTCCCCACCTCCTGCCCCAAATGATGCTGAGTGAGTTCTGTGCCAAAACCAGATCCAAAAAGCTGTTTCCCCTCCTAGAGTCTCCCTGGAGTACCCCATTACCCCTGGTTTGGGGGTGGTCCTGTGCCCTGGGGCTGGGTTTCTCATCAGGTGCTGCAGAGGACCAAAACCCTTTAAAAGAAATCTGGATACACTGGGGAAGTCCCATGTGGGTGCTGGAGCTTCTCTCACAGCTCTAAAATGGGGTGCTGCTCCGTGGGCTGCATGGAGGGAGGCCAGGACAGCAGCGGGCTCCCATGTCCCCACCACAGACCCCTGCACAGCACTGGTAGGGGTAGTAGTGGCTGCACTGCTATCCCCAGATCCCGGAAAAGGGAGGCATTTTGGGAAGCCCCTTTGACATGGGTGAGCTCTTTGTATCACAGGACCGTGGAGGGGCTGGTCGTGCTGCTGGTTGCTGGGGACAGGGATGAGGTGTCAGTGGGGGAAGACAGCTTTGTTTTTGGCAGCTGTGCTGCTGGTGTGGTTTGTGGGAAGGGCCACATTCGTCAGACATCTTGCAGCCAGTTCCAACAAGCCCCGGCGTGCCCTCTGCCAGGATCCTGGATTCAGCCACCCTTCCAGCCTCTTTAACCCTTCCTGGGGCAGTGACAGAGTTGGGGGGAGGTCCCTGGCACCGGGGAAGACCTGGGGCTCCAGCTCCCTGACTTCCCTCACCATGGGGTGGCCCTATGTCTACCTTCTGCAGGTGCAGAACCTGAATAACATCGTGTCCTTCCCCCTGGACAGCCTGTTGAAGGGGCAGCTGAAGGATGGCCGCCTGGTAAGTCCTGTCCCCAAGGTCACTCATTTGGTGACATTCTGCAGTGAGACCTCTTGGCCCATTTAGTGCCACCGACTCTTTTGCTTTCCCTGACTGCTGCCACCCCCTTTTTCCTTTGCCACAGGATTCAAAGAAGCAGATTGAAAAGGCCTGGAAGGATTATGAGACCAAAGTGTAAGTAGCATGCTGCCTCTGGCAAAATCTACCTAATCCCACTCTGCACAAAGGTGTTTTGTCCCTGGACTGGAGCGAGGCACCGATGGTGCTGGTCTGTCATGGAGAGGGTTCTGGTCCGGCTTTTCCCAAAGGGGAAAGGGAGAGGGGCTGGAGAGGGCCTGGAGATGTTTCTCCTTATCCCATCCCCACTGCAGCCTCCTGCATGGGACATCCCTCAGAGCAGGGATGTCCCCAGCCCACCTTCATCCCATTCCACAGGGGAAAGATGGAGAAGGAGAAGGAACGAGCCCGCGTGGCCGGGGTCATCCAGGCGGAGCCAGCAGCAGCGGAGGTGGCCGAGGACATGCAGAAGGAGCGGCAGCTCTTGCAGCTCCACATGTGTGAGGTGGGGGCTGTGCCAAGGGGATTGGGGACTTTTACCCCCAGGAACAGAGTCCCAGGGGGCACGGGGGACCTCTCTGCTAGAAGCTGTGCAGGGACATCAGAGCCTCTCCCAGTATCTGACACCAAAGCAGCCCCACCTGTGTGCTGTGGGGGACCCTTGTCCGTCCCCTTCTCCCTGTGCCCCAGCATGGTCCCAGCTCGGGAATCTCCATGCCATGCCATGCCGTGCCATCCCATCCCATCCCCCTACTGAGGTCCCTGTGGGATGCAGCTCCAAATGGCACCCATGGTGCCCCAAGAGGGTGGCCTGGGGGTTCCTTCCATGTCCCCCCAGCCCCACTCCTACCCTTCCTTGGGTGACATTTGGGTAAAAAGTAAGCTTTTTGGCTAACGGCCGTGAGGTTGCCTTTGTGGTTTTTGCCTATCCTCAAAACTGCTCCTGGCTTTGGTGAAGGAGGTCACAAGTCACCCCAGATCCTTGTCAATTCTGGGTCCTTGCAGTCCATGCTCAAGAGGTCAGATGGGAATAAATGAAGAAGACTGAATTTCAAAGCCCTGCAGCAATGAGGAGCCCAAGTGTCCTGGCTCCAGACACTCAGCAGCCCCATAGACTTGGAGGGTGGCAGAGCAAGAAACAAGTCTGCCATGGGTTGTCCCAGAGATCTCCCATGTTCCTGAGGTGCCGCCCCATGCCTGCCCAGCAAAGAACAGGGGTTGTGGGTAGGAGGCTGTGCCTGCCTTGGAGCTGGGACCCGGCCAGATGAGTCACTCCCTTGAATAGCTCCACTGTGGGATAAATAACAGCACATGGAGAGGCGGGAGCTGGAGCAGGGCATGTGCACCCGTGTTTCTGCATGCATGAGAGCTGCCAGCATTGGCCCTGGAAATGGGAGGGCAGTTCTTCTGGGGGGCTGGGGGCCCATATGATGCACATAGGTTTATTGGAAAGTGGGTTTTGCTACTTTCAGGGTCCTGTTTCACTCCATGGGGTGGTGGTGTCTGCTCATTGTGGGCCATTTCACACCCTCAGGGCTGTGGGAGCAGTTGGACATGGGCCCAGGGCTGCTGGGAGCATCCCTTTGTTCACAGGTCCCAGCCACCGCTGCCTGGGATGCTCTGCTGCCACTGTCACCGTGGGATGTGGGTGGCAGGGCAGGGACATCCCACAGGAGCTGGGTGCACGTGGCCTTTTCTATGTGGGACGTGCTCCCTGACATTGACTTGGCCTCTCCAGCTGTCATGGAGCACTTCAACAGCCGTGCCCAGTCCCGTGACCCCTCAGGGTGTCTGCAGTGCCTGGGGCATGGGGAGGCTCCATTCCAGGAGCTCTGTCTCACCCTGGAAAGCCCCTGCACTGATCAGGGCTGTCTCCCCCTCCCCTCACTCCCCATTCGAAACCATTCCAGCAGCTGGAGAGGAGCTTGCAGGGGGAAAATCTCTTCCCCTCCTTCTTTCACTTAGGGTGAGCTAGAGTCAGTGTGTTTCTTTCCCTGCTTGCAGCTGATGGATGGGTTTGATGCATAAAGCTGAAATTCCCCATCCCACGAGGCACCCCAGCAGACCTCCAGTGCTGGTGTGCTGCAGGTGCTCACTTCTTGGAATCTGATTTTTTGGGAATAAAAGGGCCATATCTTAAAAAACATTTGGCCTTTTTTGTTGTGTTTTTTCTTTCCTTCACAAGTAGCCTTGAGTTTTGGTTATTTATTAACTCCAGAAGTAATGAGCAGTGGGAGAAGCATGCTTGGCTGGAAAGCCTGGAGGCCTGCCTCAGTCCTTGAACTTTCCATGTCTTGGAGGACTTCCAGAGCCAGGTTTTTGAGGGTGGTCCCCAGCGAGCTGCCTTCAAATCCAACATCATGATTTGACTTCCTGAAACCCAGCCATTGTTTTAACCTTCCTCCCTGTGCTGGGAAGGGAATCAAGGGCTAGGCAGGCTCTTGCTCTTTCCTCTGGGATATTCTCAGCTGGTCCTTGTCTCTGTCACCTAACCAGGTGTTTATTCCCCCTCCAGTACCTGCTAAAAGCCAGAGAATCTCAGATGAAGCAGGGACCAGATTTCCTGCAGAGCCTCATCAAGTTTTTCCATGCTCAGCACAAGTAGGTGCCACTTGGGTCAAGATGGGGCTGATTGTCACCCTTGGGTGGTCCCCTGAGGGTCTGGGGTCTTCTGCTCCCATCCCAGAGCCATAAAGCTGTTAGTGGAGATACTGTGCGGAGCCCATCACTTCTCAGTTTTCTCTGGGGAGTTGAAATGTGCTTTGTTGTTTTGAGAAGCTGTAAACGTGTCCATGGGGCAGTGGGAGGGGCATTGGCTTGAGATGTATCTGATTATTTGGTTTCTGGATTGATTTCCAGGGATGAGCTCAGCTGAGCAGCTCTGGCTTTAGCCATGGGGCTTGTAACAAGAGTGTTTGGAGTGAGGATCAACATCCCCTTGCCTTTCCCGTTGCTCCGTGAGGCTGGAATAGCAGTGTGTGGGAGTCATCATCTCCTCCAGCTCTCAAGTGGGGAAACTGAGGCAGTTTGAGACTGCCGTGGTGGTCAAAAGCATGTCTTTGACTGGGACTGTGACCCAGGGACCCCCCAGAATGTGGCTTTTGGCAGCACTGCTCCCCAGTGAATTGAGCTGGGATTAAACAAGAGGCCAATCCTGCATGCCAGACCTCCCAAATATTTGGGGTATCCAAAATCCATGGGCTAGGCTTGGCCTTTGCTGGGCTCTCTCCAGCTCCCCGTAGCCAGGGAGCCACAAAGCAAGTACCAGGGAGGGGATCGCCATGATCTCCTGCCACAATTTCTCTAAAAACCCTCTTTTTTCCTCCATCTTCCCCATGTGCATCTTAATCACCCTCAACAAACACCCAGTTTCTTCCAAGACGGCTGGAAGGCTGCCCAGAATCTCTACCCCTTCATTGAGAAGCTCGCCATGTCCCTGCACGCGGTAAGGCCTTCACGCTGCCATGCAGTGCCCTCAGCCTGTCCCCCGCGATGCGCCCATCCCCGTGCCAGCCCCGGCCAGCGCCTGTGCTCGGGGCAGCCCTGAGGGCAGCTGCTGCCTCCGCAGCTGCGCCAAGCACAGGAGGAGGAGGTGAAGCAGCTCACGCAGACCCGTGATTCCCTCCGCAACATCCTGCAGCTGGAGAACAAGGAGGTGAGACCGCAGGATGGGCAGGGAAGAGCTGGGAAGGAGCATTGGGAGCTGCTGGGTACGCTGGGGTTAGTTTGGGAGAGGGGAGCTGGATTAACTTCTCCAGGGACCTGGAGACATTTGGATGCTGGGAGGGCATGGGGCTGTCTGGCATCTTCTAGACACGCTGCACCCCCGTAAGGACAAGGTCACCTGGGGCAGCAGCCGCCTCTGTGCCTCTCACTTTGCGTTTTTATTGTCTTTTTTTCAGGAAAACTTGAACAGGAAGAACTCTGGCAGTGGCTACAGTATCCATCAGCACCAAGGCAACAAGCAGTACGGGACAGAGAAGTCAGGATTCCTGTACAAGAAGAGTGATGGGTGAGGATGAGTGTTATCCCGGAGAGCTCTTGGCTTCATCCTGATATTGTCAGTGCTCGTGGGAGGTCTAGAGCTGAAATCCAGCTCACAGGACATTTAGTATTCTATGAGTTAGAGAAAGCATAACCCCATGTCCAGAACTCCCATCAGGCCTCTGCCATGGCTGGTTTGGGATGTGGATGTGGGTGATTGCAGCTGTGCAATCCTCACTCCTCCTCTTCCTTCTTCTCAGGATCCGCAAAGTGTGGCAGAAGAGGAAGTGTGGTGTGAAGTATGGCTGCCTGACCATCTCCCACAGCACGGTGGGGAGCGTGGGGGCTGCAGACCTGACCCTTTTTTGTGCACCCTTTGGGGCTTAATGTACATTGGATTTCAGGTTTAATTTTGCCAAAACTGATCACAAATCTGCCTGGCTTAAAAATCAATGCAGGATGAGACTGGACAGTTCAAAGAAAGTCCCCTGTATCTGACAGGGGTCCCAGGGTGGTGCCCCGTGTCTGTCCATGGGAGAGGAGGTGATCCTGGCGGGGACAGACAGACGGACAATGCGGGTCCAGACGAACCCAAGGGGACGGGCTGGTTGGGCGGAAAGGGCTGCCCCCTGGCGGTGGAGGCTGGAAACTGCAGGAGGGGCAGAGGCCCCTCTTGGAGCCGTGTTCTTCTGCAAAGGGTTCCTGTTCTTCTGAAATGAGTCAGACAGGGTCTGATTTGCATGGTTATCCCGAGACAAACCATCTGTGGTGGTGGTTGTACCACCACAGTTGCCACTGGAGATGGTGATGCCCATCCCATTCATTCCTGGTCCTTTAACCCACCTCGGTCCTCTCACCCTGCAGATAAACCGTCCCCCTGTGAAGCTGAACCTCCTCACCTGCCAGGTGCGGCCCCATGCCGAGGAGAAAAAATGCTTTGACCTGGTGACACGTGAGTACCTGGGATGAGGTGCAGTGACTGGGGTGTGAGGTGTTTGACCTGGAGGTGGAGGCTTTGGTGGGACCTTTCCCTTTTTGGAGTGGGTTTTCCCTCTGAAACACAGTGTCACCCTCTTTAATCTGGCTCTGGGTGTCTTCCTGGCTGTCTTTACAGATGAAGGACCAATCCAGTGAGTGCTAGAAAGCTGAGACAAAAAGAGATTGTGACAGGGCTCAGGTGATGGGAGAGTGATGTGCAGTGATTTGATTTGTAATTAAGCAGCTCCTTTGAAGAGATTGCAGCTTATTCCTCAGCATCCCTCGACCACAGAATCCTAGAATGGTTTAGGTTGGAAGTAGCCTTAAAGACTGTTTTGTTCCACCCCCGCACCGTGGGCAGAGCTATCTTCCACTAGACCAGATTGCTCCAAGCCCTGTCCAAGCTTAAACAATTCAAGGGATGTGGCAGACACAGCTTCTCTCCTTTCACCTTCTCTCTTTTCTCCCCATCCCTACAGACAACAGGACATATCACTTCCAAGCAGAGGATGAGCAAGAGTGTGTTGTGTAAGTGCCACAGCCCATCCCTCCTCCTTGATGTGCCAGATCCTGCTCTGCCTTCCTCATCCTCCTCTTCCCCCTCCCTCCTCCCTCCTGCCCAGGTGGGTCTCAGTGCTGCAGAACAGCAAGGATGAAGCCCTGAGCAATGCCTTCAAGGGGGATGGGGGCAGTGGCGGGGTGGCAGCAGGCACCGGGGTGGACGGTGGCATGCAGGAGCTCACCAGGCTGGTTATCAGTGAGGTGAAGAACATGCCAGGAAACAAGCAGTGTTGTGACTGCGGTGCCCCAGGTATGGTATGTCAGGGCCTGGGGTGTCCCCCTGCCCTGGGTGTGAGTCAGGGCTCATGGGGGTTGCAGCATCTTTGGGGGCTGGGCATGCCGCTGAGCCCTGCGCCACTCCCACTGCAGATCCCACGTGGCTCTCTACCAACCTTGGCATCCTGACGTGCATCGAGTGCTCTGGCATCCATCGGGAGCTGGGTGTGCATTATTCCCGCATCCAGTCCCTCACTCTGGATGTTCTCAGCACCTCTGAGCTGCTGGTAAGCTGCTTTCTGAGCCCTGAGATCTCCTGGCACCTTGGGAACCACCCTCTGTGTGTCCCAAACCTCCTGTGACACAGGGTTAATTTCTTCTTCTCCATCCCATCTGTCCCCAGTTTGCTCCAGGGCTTGCAAACTTGCCTCAGTTTCCCCAGCGCAGTGGGCAGGGGGGGCTCTGCAAAGCTGTTTGCTAAGCAGGGGGCTGCTGGCAGCTCCCCAGGATTTTCTCCCTCCTAAAATAGATTTCCACTGCCATAAGAGAGCATCATCCTGGCAAAGATGCTGCTCTGGGAAAGCCCTGGATGGATCCTATGGATTCCTTCCTTCCGGGATGGGATCTGGCTGGAACAGGGTGAGTGTGACCAGGAGGGTTTATGTCCCTCTGTTCTCCTCTCTCCCTAGCTGGCTGTTAGCATTGGGAACACTCGTTTCAATGAGATCATGGAGGCCGCACTACCCACACAGGACTGTCCCAAGCCTTCAGCCAGCAGTGATATGTGAGTCAGGGACTTGGGTGTGCTGGGAAGAAGAGGAGGAGAAGGAAAAGGAGTGCATGGTGTGTGCCCTGTTCTTGTCCCCTTGCTGCCTCTGCCCATCTAAGACAGCCCTGGGATGAGGCATCCTGGTGTCATTGCTGGATTATGGTTGGGGATCTGCACCTCTTTGGAGACTTACCCTTGATCCTGAGGCTTCCGGAGGAGGCAGGAGCACAGGGCTCCGCAGCCCATCTCCATGCCCATCCAAGCCCCCCTTCCGGCAGGGCTGCGCGCAAGGAATACATCATGGCCAAGTACATGGAGCGACGCTACGTGCAGAAAAGCAGCCAGGACAACCCCCACGGCCTCTGGGAAGCCATTCAAGCCCGTGACCTCCTGGCCCTGCTCAAGGCCTTTGCCGAGGGGCATGACCTGACCAAGCCCCTGGCCAGCCCTGAGGGTCAGGTGAGGCCTGCACCCAACAGGGAATGGATTTTCCCTCTCTGGGTGGCTGTTCTCTGGGTTGCCTTGGGCTTTGGGAAGGGATATGCTGGTTGGAAGGTGAGCATCCTTAGGTCCAGCTTTCTTTTCTCCTACACACAGGAGATGAAGTATTGTTGAGGCCAGCTCTCCTCTCCCTTCCATATCTTGGGAGATGAGCATACATGTGTCCAGCACTCCTTTTCCCTTCATTCAGGGGGGAAGATGAGCATTCTTGGATCCAGTACTTTTCACTTTTTCCTGAGGAAAGATGAGCACTCTCAGGGTCATCTCTCCCTCCCATCTCTTGGCAGGATGCAGGCGAGCTGCCGCTGCACATGGCCGTACGCCATGCCGACAGATCATCCCTTCCCTTGGTGGACTTCATCGTCCAGAATGGGTGCGTCCCCAAGGGCTCCCAGTGTTCCCTGCCCCTCTCTCTCACGGGAGGAATGTACAGGGTGCTTGTATCAAAGCCTTGACTTTCCTGCTCTTGGCCCTGCACAGGGGAACACTGGACCGAGTGACACAGAATGGGAACACGGCCTTGCACTACGGTGCACTCTATAACCAGCCCAACTGCCTCAAGCTGCTCCTGAAAGGGAAAGCCACCTTCACCACAGGTATAAGCTTGGGACAGAGGTTTTGGTGTTCTTTGGTGGGAGTGGTAAGGCTGCAAATTGGATTTGTCCCCCTTTTATCCCTTGGGCAGTGAATGCGGCAGGCGAGACAGCTCTGGATGTGGCGAGGAGGCTGAAGCACAGCGAGTGTGAGGAGCTGGTAGGTGGGATGGAGGAATGGGGGAGAAGCTCAGAGTGGGGAGAAGGGATCAAGTGCCTGAGGAGGACTGGCACGAAGGTGGGGGGCTTTTGGAACGTGTCCCTCCAGTGCCGAGACCCCTGTGGGCTGCCCCATCCTGAGATCCCCCTGACCTGCCCTATCCCTCTGGCAGCTGGAGCAGGCGCAGGCAGGGAAGCTATCTCTGCAGATCCATGTGGACTATGACTGGGAGCCCCTATCAGAGTTGCCCTATGACAGTGAGGATGAGCTGGAGGAGAAGGTACTGTGGGATGGTGGGGCCTCCACATCCCCAGTAAGGGAGCTGTGGGAGTGCACACCCTTTTGGGGGGCTGGTGGCCGTGGGACATCCCTGGAGCTGTGTGTGTACCCCCAGGTGAGCCCCCTCCAGCGCTCCTTCAAGGGCACATCACCACTGGCCGCCAGCCCGCTGCCTGCCTGCCCCCAGACCCGCTGGAGCTGCATGGGGATGGACATCACCAACAAGACCTACGAGAGCATCCTGGTGCCCTCGCGCACTGCGCCCCGCCGGGCTCACAGCGAGGAGATCCCCCCGCCACTGCCCCTCAAAAACCCTACGCGGGGCAGCTCTCGCCCCAAACCCAGCCACAGCCCCACCGGTGAGTTGGAGGAGGAGGTCATCATGGTGGGGCTGTGCCTTCCCCCAGAGACCAAGTTTGTTCTCCCCATTGCGTGTGTCCCCCCAGAGCGCCCTGAACTGCCCCGGCAGGCATCGGAGCCCCACTTCTCTGGGCCAGCGGAGGCAGCAGCACCACACAGCCTGCCCTGTGCCAGCAGCACGGGTGCCCTGGATGGCACTCCCAGCACCCGCAGCCCCACCGAGAGCCAGTGGGCCGCCTACTGGGAAACCCGCTCCGAGACGGACACGAGCAGCAGTCGGCGGGGGCCAGAGCTGAGTCCCCCACCCACACAGCCCCTGCCAGGCAGCACAGTCCCTGACATCCCCCCTGTCAGGTTTGGGTAGGGACCCTGCTCCAGACTGGGGTTGCACTTGGTTTTGGGAGATCGTTGTATGGTGCTGGTGGGTGAACTTCAACCTCTGCGACCCCCATGGGCATGGAGAATTGCTGTGAAGCAAAAGGGTCCCCACCCTCTGGGATCTCCAAAGAAGCTGATGGTGACCCTGGGATGCAGGAGGAGACAAGGGCAGCTATGGGGATGCTGGGTTGTCCTTGGAGACAATGATGCAGATTATTTGGGAGGACACCAAGATCCTCTGCCAGTTATCATATGTATTTTTTCTCTCCTTTGGGAAAATGTGGTGGGATGGCCTCATTTGAGGGAGTTTGGGTCCTGGGGACCCTTTTCATCAGCATCAAGGGGGCTGTGGGTGAGATCCAGGTCCCATAGGGGAAGCCCTGACCTCCCTGAGACCTCACAGGATGGAGAACAGGGTGGGGGAAGGCAACAGCAGATGGGGGGATGACACTGTTCCCACTGTCACCCACAGCTCAGAGAGCACCCGCTCGTACCGGCGCATTGGTGGCATGGTGGGCAAAATGGGGTCAGCTGGGTCCCCCCAGAGCCCTGGTGGCCCTGAGGACCCTTCTGTCAGCAAGCTGCCCCCTGTGCCCATGCCCAGAAGATTTGCTCCGGTAGGTGCAAATCCTCCTCTGCATCCCCAAGTGTCCCGGCTCCTCTTATCCTGGGGTGGCAGATGGAGTGATCAGGGGGTCCTATCCCTGTTGCCACCTTTTGGATGGCTTCGGGGGGTATGTCACCCCCTTTTGATCCCATTTCAGGCCAAGGGGAGGCAGAAGCGAGTAAAGGCAGTGGCTGACTGCAAGGGAGACAAGGCACGAGAGCTGACCTTCTCCAAGGGGGAGGTCATCGTGGTGACACGGGAGGAGGACGAGCAGATCTGGGTGAGTCAGCATGGCATGGGCAGCTGCTGGTCCTGGTCCTTTCCCCCCTCCAGTTCTTTTCTGAAGGAGGCTGAGTTTTTCTGGGGGGGCACAGATGGGGAATTTCTGCCCCATGTATGCATGAAGGAGGGCTAGGAGTGCTCCACTGATGTGTCACCACAGCTTTGCCTCTCTAAATGCCTGTTGGAATTGAGCAGGGAAGAAGTTCTGGGGCTGATATCTCAAGATAAGACTTGCACTCCCCTGAACTCTCTTTCTGCACCCCCAGGTTGGCTTCATCGAGGGTGATGGCTCCCGTACTGGGGTCTTCCCTGCCAGCTTCGTCCACCTCTTGCAAGACTGACCGTGTGGGGGTGGCCCATTTGTCACTGTCCCATTGACTGGGAGTAGAGCCAGCTCCCTGCTAGGGGCTTGGTAGAGCCAGGTCAAAGGGACATGTGCCCAGGATCCTGGCATGAGACCACTGCCCTCCAAGGGGGCCCTGAGATCCCCTGCACTGGGAAAACCGTCCATGGATGGCAGCAGTGGGGGGCTGAGGAGCAGAGAATGGACATGCTTGCTGCACTGGTGGGCTGAAGTTTCTGTGCCAGCCCCTGCTCCCGCCGCTCTTCTGTCATTCCCTTGGTCTCTGCCCATCACTTGGGTTTTCTTCTTCCTTCTCTGCAAGGAATTTGGGATGGGGGAGCTGTATTTGGTATCCCCTACCCTCTGCCAGGTAGTCATGAAGCTTCATCCTGGGGGCAGCCATGGACCACCAGCCTCCTTCTGTACCCCAACTGTGAAGCCTTTGGGATGGGCAAGAAATAGGAGAGGGTTTTTTTTTTTTGTGTCCATCCCCCACCCCAGGTTCTGGGAGCTGCCTGGACTGGTGGAGTTCAGGGATGCTGCAAAGCTTCTCCAAAACTGGAAGCAAAATGCCATTCCTTGATTTGGAGGGCAGGGGATGTTTCAGGTGCTACCACAGAGCCCCTGCCCCATGTCCCTCATATGGGGTGGATGCTGGATCACTGCCCCTTCCCTAGGGTGGGGGGGGGGGGAGGGGAGGGGGTCTCAGAGGGGGTTTTGCAACTTTTTCTAGGACCAGCATACGTCTGTAGCAGTGTCCCCTGGGAGCCACCTGCCTCCATACCCCCTCACTGTACCCTTCTCATTTCTGTGTCAGATGCTTCATCTCAAAAAGAGTCTTTTTTAAAGTCTTTTTGTCTGATTTCTAATAAACCATCATTTTTTAAGCACCTGGGAGTGTGTTGGGGGGTACAACCCCTCCCCTGCCATCCCCAACATGGTGATGCTGCTGATGTGTTCCCAAGGCTCCCAGTCCCTGGCATCTGTGATCACCCTTGGGGGCAGCCATGTGGGGCTAGGCTGGGACATGGATCCAGAGCAGGATGCTTATACTACAGCCCCCCCATGTGCGTGCTGGAGCAGGGACAAGCAAGGATGGCAAGGTTGTTGCCACCTACAAATCCCGGTGGCTTGTGCCCTGTATTGCTGCCTGTCCAGCCAGGCCTGAGGGGCTCCTGCTCCTGCCCCAGGCTGGCACACTATCAACTGGCTCTGGCTCTCATCTATGCTGTGCTTCAAAGACTGCAGCGTGTCATTTGTTATCGCACAATCACGGAATGTTGGAAGGGGCCTTAAAGATCGTTCCGTCCACCCCAATGTAGGGGGGACACCTTCCTCTAGACCAGGCGGGTTGCTCCAAGCCTGTCCATCCTGACCTTGGACATTTCCAGGGATGGGGTATTCTCAGTACCAAAATACTCCAATATGTGGAGTACTCCAGTATAAGAACTATTCCTGTATAGTGGAATTCCACATATATTGGAACATTCCAATGCATGGAGTATAAAGATTATTCCCCCAGGGCTCTCCCTGCTGGGTCAGCTTTGGGAAAAACAGAGCCTGCGGCACACTGTACCCGTGCCCCTGAGGATTCCCTGCCTCAGCCATGCCGATGGCCGAGCCCCATCCTGGGCCCTGTGCCTGCCCAGGCTCCCCACGGCCGCGAGCGCCTCAGCGCACGCCTCCTCCGCTCCTGCAGCCGTGGCTCTCGACTATATTTAGCCCTCCCCCGTGCTATTTTGCTGTCCTGGCAGGAGTTTATAACTGGCTGGGACAGCCCCACCTCCTTTCTGCTTTCTCTCTCTTCCCTTCCTGTCCCTTTCCCCCTTTTCCCCTCCTCTCTGCTCCCTCCCACCCCGCTGCCCAGGACCCCATGTCAGCAGTGCCTAGCTGTGTCCACAGCCAGTGTCCTGCTCCACTGGAGCCCCCGCCATGGGGCCCGCTGAGGAGCTGGTCCGGATTGCCAAAAAATTGGATAAGATGGTGGCCAGGAAAAGCACGGTAAGGTGGCTGAGCTCCTCGGGGCATGTGCTCATATTTAAACATACAAATTTACACGTGTACATATTTACACACGTGCTTATTTACACACTTGCTTGTTTACATGCATGTTTAAATGTTGTGTGGCTTGGGAAAGGACGGGGAGAGGGGGGTTGCTTTTTACAGCCCTCACATTGTCCCTGGAGGTGCTGAGTGGGTTTAAGGGGTGCTGCCTGTGTCACCCAAGCCCAGCCTCAGGACATCATAGTCAACACCCATGGGATTTAATTTTGCCTCTAATTTGGCGCTCTCCTGTGCCCCGTTGCTCCCAGACACTGGGATTTGGGGGATTTGGGGGTAAGGGGTGTTTGTCCCATGGGTGGCAGCTCTTGACACTGCTTGGCAGTGCCGGACTGTGGGCAACAGGTGTTTGGCCCCCAGCCTGTGCACCAACACCTGATCAGTGCCAGGGCCAGAGGCTCGTGTACAGGCAAGGAAAAGCTCTGGGCTGGGGGATATAACACCCTCGGGCACAGCCCTGCCTGTTGCACAAGTATGCAAAGAGAGGGGAAGGGGTCAGACACTGTTTCCTGGGTGGTTGTGCTCCGGGGAAGCCAGGATCCAGCCCTGCCACCCTTGTGCCAAGTGAGGATCCTGGTGAGCCTGTTACATGTGCCAAACCCAGCTCTCAGAGTTAATATTTGACTGTTTCCACTGGCCTTTGCCCTGACAAGGTGCAGGCTCCTGGCTGGGGGGGCAGCACTGCCGTCTCCATGGATCTGGTGGCTTTTTGGGATGCCAACACTTGGTATCAAACCACATCCCATGGCTCTGTTTGGTGCCAGGAATTACCCAGGGGTCAAGGGACAGGGGTGTTCCATACTTCTCTTGCTACACTTTGGGATGGGACAGAGCCAGGGTCCACTTACAACACAGGAATGTCCCTGCACCCATCAAACTGGGGGGATCTGATCCAGCCTCTCCTGGTGGGACTCCAGGGAACAGTGTCCCTGGAGGGGGATACCTGGGAGCTGGTGTCTGCTGCTGGGGCTCTAAAAATACCAAGGATGAGGACGAGGAGAAAGACAGTGAGGAGGAGGAAGGCTCTGTGCTGGACTATCCTTATCTCAGCTGCCACTGCAGGGTACCAGGATGTGTCCCATGGACCTTCACACCCCTGAGTGGGGGACATTGGGAAATCCCCCGGCTGTCCCTAAGTCCCACCAGCCCAGATTTTTCTTGCAGATGGGGGTTTTCCCAAGTTTTAGGAAAAGCTCATGATATCCAGCTGGAGATGTGACCTGGGGCTGGGATGATCCAGGAGGATTTGGGTGTGGGACTTTTCTATCGGTGTGAGAGGTCAGGCAATCCCAGGGAGCCGCCCAGGGCTGCTTTGGGTTGTCCTGTCATGCCCTTCCTGGTGCTGCCTGGTGCTTCCTCAAGGGCTCCTGTGGCTTCTCCCTGCTGTAGGAAGGGGCACTGGATCTGCTCAAGTCTCTTACTGGCTACACCATGACCATCCAGCTGCTCCAGGTGAGGGGGTTTGGGTGGGGGGACACCCCAGGGGGTAGCTTGTCCTGTGCCTTGTGCCAGCCACCGCATCCCTAAGGATGTGTCCCCGGTGTGTGTCCCCAGACCACACGGATTGGAGTGGCTGTGAACTCAGTGCGGAAACACTGCTCAGATGAAGAGGTGGTGGCCTCGGCCAAAATCCTCATCAAAAACTGGAAGCGGCTTCTGGGTGAGTGATGCTGGAGGGAGATGAGAACCCCCCAAATCTCAATCCTCCTTGAGCCATCCCTGCACCTCAAGCCCCAATGCTTTCCGGGGGGATGGAGTGGAATCAGTCCAGAGCCAGGACATGCAGGCTCCTATAACCTGTAACTCAGATTTTCCAAAGGCTTGTTTTCACTCTGGGATAGAGTGGTGTAAATCAATGCATGCCCCACCAAGGGCTGAGCATCTCCACAATCATTCCCCCCCTCAGGATGCAACTCTGCAGGTGCCCTATGCTGGTTTGGGCTGTGACTGTGGCGCCCAAATCCTTCCCACAGAGTCCACCACCACAAAAAAAGAGAAGGATGCAGATAAGAAGAAGGAGAAGGACACAGATGGAGACAAGGAGAAGAAGAAGGAGCTGGACGTTTCCAGCTGCCCCAGTGAAGGGGTGAAGCACAGCAAGAATACAGCTGAGAAGCACAGGGAGAAATACAAGGAGAGGTTAGGGCTCCTGCCTGCTGTTGGGGGACACCAGGGCCAATATGAGACCACTCTCTGCTTGGTCTTTAAGAGTTTATCCATCTCTGCCTACCCATGGATGCTGGCAGCACCTCTGGAGACCAAACTGCCTCCGAGACAGCACCAGGGCCGATTTTGGAGGAGGGAGAAGTGGATATTTTCTATTTTCCCTTCTCTATAACTAGGTCATTTTGGATAGTGCTTATCTGACCTGTGCTCTCTCTATCTCTAGGAAGCCCAGCAAGTGTGACTCTCATGCCACCACCACCCAGGGCCGCTCTGCTGATTCCAGCTCGGAGAGGTACCTGCTGAAGGATGCCCCGACCCTCACGCCAGGCTCTGCCAGGCGCTGCCAGCCCAGAGGAGGCTTTGCTGGCAGCCTGGGGGGAAGGGGGGGGGGGGGGGGGGGGCGGCTCAGGGATGGGGGATGCAGATGGACAGGATCCAGCTCACAGGTTGCCAGAGTATGCTGGGTTTGCTGAGAGCTTCTCTCCCTTCCTTTGGGCTGTGGTGAAGAGAGTCCAGTGATGGCAGGAGCCCCACTGCATCCTCCAAGAAATCACCTCTGGATGGCAAGAAAGAGAGGTGGGTCCTGGGGCTGCATGAGGATGGGAGAGGCAAGACCCTGGCCCCTCACTGGGTTGTGCTTGGGGTGTGGACCCATCACTTGTCCCAGCTACTGCCCTCTGACATGGGGCTTGTCCTGCCAGGAGAGCCTCTGCTGACTCCAGGTCCTCAACTGTCTCCTCCTCTTCCTCCACACAGAAGAGACTGTCAGGGGAGAGGTAAGGAGAGGGTGTCCCTGGGCAGCCTGGGGATGCTTTTAGGGTCCCCCTTGGGGATACCATGAACATGGAGGGGGTGAGAAGTGGCTGGGAGCCCTGATCCTGCCACAGCACTGAGATATTTCCTGGGAGGAGCAAATGGAGATTCCTGTTGGCTTCCGAGCGAGCGCTCTCATTGATGTGCTGATGCCTGAGGTCCTGCCACCAGTCCCTGCCCCTGTCCTGCCCTGTCCTGCCCCATCTCTGGTGTCATCCCCGCTGTCCTGTTTCATGCCACTCCCAGGAGAGCCTCTGTGGGGACCAGCCTCTCTCCAGCTCCCACCAGCTCCCAGAGAAACTCCAGTGACAGCAAGGAGGAAAGGTAAGAGAGACCCACTCCACTTCCAAGGACCCTGGCAGATCCCTGCAGCTGTGCCAGGACCCTGCCACCTGCCCGTGCCCCTGCAGAGCCAACAGCAGCAAGGCCAAGCCTGAGGTGCCACGAACGCCCAGCAGCCCCTCCTTCTCTGCCAGCCCCTGCTTCCTGGCCCCCTGCTACCTCACAGGGGACTCGGTGCGGGACAAGTGCATTGAGATGTTGACGGCTGCACTGCGCATGGACGGTGAGCAGTTCTGGGGGTGCTGGACCCCAGACTGGGCTATTTCTCCTATGGGACAGTCCTAATAGGAGCATTCAGCCCCAAAGGAAAGAAAAGGTTGGTAGGGTCTCTGATTAGGGGGTTGGATGTGAGGATGCATCTTGGTAAGGTTCAAGATGGGTAAAACTAGGTATTTTAGAGATAGAGGGTCTGGGGCAAGTACTGGGGGAGAGGTGAGATTTTCTGAGGGAGGTACAGTGAGACCTGTGGCTGGTTTCACACCTGAAAGTCACCCCTTAACCTCTCTACCCTTTAGACGACTACAAGGAGTTCGGTGTTAACTGCGAGAAGATGGCATCGGAGATTGAAGACCATATCCTTTGGGAGCCTAGGGGTCCCCAGGCTTCACCTGCTGGGGAGGGGGGTGTATGTGGGCTCAAGAGTGCTGCTGGGGACAGGACAGAGGGTGACAGGGACAAGGACAGAGGGTGACAGACTCTGCCGTGCTCGTTGCCTGCAGAGGGAGCCCAGACCTCAGTGAGAGGATGCTGAGGCTAAGGCTGAAGCTGATGCTGAGCAAAGCTTCTCCTGAGCACATGCCTTTGTCCAGGGGTCTGTGTGTCCTCCCCAGTCCCCTCTGGTCAGGGGCCTGCCTTCATCCCTGGGGAAATAAATCCAAACCCAGCCAAAGCTTTTCCCATGAGCCTGCTGTAGGTGCCTGTGTCTCCTGCTAGAACCAGTCTGTCACAGTGTCCAGGCTGTGCCATGCTGGAAGGGATGGAGCCACCTCTGTCCACCCCCAACTCAAGGCTTGGGGTGCTCCTGGCAGCCCACTGAGACCAGGACCAACGCCAGGGTGGTTCACCTCCTGGGTGCCCTTTTTGGTGCCTCCCAGACTCTGTGCCCAAAGCTGCTACACCAACCTGTCCATACTCATATTCTTTGGGAGGAGGGAGTAGACAGAGTCCTCTGCACCATGAGCTTTTCTCCCAGCACAGGGCTTGGTGATAGTCCCTGAGCCCCATAGCCTTGCCTGGATGTTAGACATTCCAAGGTAGTGGAAAGTCATTTTCCTCCCCACATCTGAAGCTGTGCTTCGTCCTCTTAAAGCCAAGGATGGGACACTTCCCACAGGGAGGAAAGCCCCACTGAGATCAGCCACCTCCACGTGACCATTGGCCCTGGTGACAGCAGCACCAAGCTGGCATCCCCCATCCCCCTGTGTTGATTCTTTGACGGACCCCACGTATCTTCCAGGAGCTGAAGAGCACAGACATGAAGTATCGCAACCGGGTGCGGAGCAGGATCAGCAACCTGAAGGACCCCAAGAACCCTGGGCTGCGCAGGAATGTGCTGTGCGGGGCCATCGAGCCCAGCCTCATCGCCCGCATGACTGCTGAGGTGGGTACTGGGGTGCATGGGGCTGATGCCCCTGGATCTCTTCCTCTGTGGTGCCCAAGTGCTGGGTCTTGGCTTGGTGTTGTCCACAGTGGGGATGTCCCAGCACCTCCCTGTCCCACTCCAGTGCTGAATGAGACATGGGGAGCATTAGGAGAAAGCTGGCAGCACTGCAGACCCCCAGCCTAACACAGATCTGGCTGTGGGATGTCTCACTGGCAGGAATCAGGCTGGAGTGTCCCCATTTGTCCTCCTCAGCCACAGTCCACAAATCAGGCTCCTCGGAAGCCCAGTTTCCCCTGTGGGGAGGCAGATCCCTGCAGACAGCAGTTTTAGTTTGAAGATGGGATGATTTTTTCATCAGGATGGGTTTAAGCCCTCCAGCACACACAGACAGCAGGATTAATCCTGTTTTGGGAGAGGATGGGGAAGGTGTTGGACTGTGGTACTTGGATGTGAGCAGAGCCATGGCTACACTGACCCATGTGGGCCAATGCTGGTGGCAGGAGATGGCCAGTGATGAGCTGAAGAAGCTGCGGAACGCCATGACCCAGGAGGCCATCCGGGAGCACCAGATGGCCAAGACAGGCGGCACCGTCACCGACCTCTTCCAGTGTGGCAAATGCAAGAAGAAGAACTGCACATACAACCAGGTCAGGCCTGGTCTGCAGGGGAGCTTGCCTTGGGGGATGCTGTAAGGGTCTCACTGAGGCAGTGCTGCTCCACCCCAGGTACAGACACGCAGCGCCGACGAGCCCATGACAACGTTTGTGCTGTGCAACGAGTGTGGGAACCGCTGGAAGGTCTGTGACCATCTGGGGAGAGGCTCTGGGCAACCCACCCCTTTCCTAGCCTTCAGGGGTAGCAGAGCCCCCTGAAGGGGTGCTTTGGGTGCTGGCTGAGGGCTTATCACCTGTCCTGGGCTCTGCTTCTCCTGCAGTTCTGCTGATGTGGCTGGCGATTGGGCTGGAGGGAACATGGTGCAAGACAAGATGCTGTGACACCACATTGGGCAGCTGGATTGGGGAGGAGGGATCAGGGTGACCCCAGTCCCTAAGCACCAGCTCTTTGTACCCTTGCACTGGGCTCCTTCAAACATCCTGGGGACCTGGCCTCCAGCAATGTCCAGTTCACTCAAGAAGGTCCCTGTGAATTCAATGGTTCTTCCCTGCAAATTCCTGCCCTTTGGTTGGCATGTGCTGGGATCCCACTGGAAACAGACTCATTCCTGGTTTGGGGGCAGGAGAGACATTGTTCCGTGGACATGGGGCTGTGCCTGGGAGCTGAGGGTGGCAGAGGGCCAGGTCATAACCCAAACACCTTCCTCACCTAAGTGCACACAGAGGGAGGGGAGAGACATGGAGGGGACAGGGTGGGTGCAGCGTGTCCAGATGCTGTTGGGATGCCACTGTGCCCCTCTGCTCTGTGACAAATGGACCATCCATCCTGGCTTGAAGGCACCATGGCCCAGGAAAGAAGGAAGGATGGCAGGGAGAGGAGCAAGGAAGAACCCTTCCAGCCAGAGTAATAAAGGTGTGAACTATCTCTGCAGCATTGACTGTTTCTTAAGATGGGTTTGGGATGTCTGTCTCGAGTTTATAGCTCTCCAGCTTGAGCCTCAGGGTCGTGGAGCGTGCTGCTCCCATGCTTGCATGAGCCAGAGTGTGAGAGCAGAGAAGGACAGTGAAGCTGTTAATTAACTGATCATTAATTTTTAGATCTTGGCCTGAGGTGTGGATTTTTTCACAGGCCATGGCATTTGTACCCAGACTTGGGTGCTAAACGCTCTGTGTTTGGGGGGTCCCCACCACCCTTAAGCCCCCTGAAAGAGCTCTCTGGGCTGTGGTGCTTGTTAACACTCTGAAGTGATTAATGAGCCTCCAAGGCAATTATTTACACTTGTGACAGTGTGTGTGGCTGCAATTAAGGAATATAACGGATTGTAGGGGATGAATAAAACATCAGTGTGACCTTGAGGTGTGAAGGGAGCACAGGAAGGGCAGGACTGGGGCTCCCAGCCATCCCCAGGGTGCCTCAGGGCGTGTTTGCCTGGAACAAGGCTGAAATAGGGGATTTGGACTTATTTTTTTTTGCAGTCCAGTCTAATGAAAGTGTTTAAGTGATACCAGAGGGAGCCAGACTCCAAGCATGTTATGATGGATCTCCTGGCATCCCTCTGTGTCCTTCACAAGAGCCCTCAGGACCTCTGCTGCAGCTCCAGCCCCACGTGGGGCCGGTCGTGGCCACACAATGATGGAAAGGCCCTTACAGTTCCTGCCAGGGGTTGATTTACCCACCCCGAGGCTCCAGGTTTGGATGCTCCAGCGCTTCAGCAGAGGCTGGTGTCTCTTCCTGCCTCTCCCTGCCTATCTCTGCGTGAATCACAGAATCATTTCAGTTGGAAAAGACCTCCAGGATAATTGAGCACAACTGCTCTCCCAGCACTGCCCAGCCCACCGCTAACCACATGTCCCCAGTGCCGCATCAACATATCTTTTAAATCCCTCCAGGTGACTCCAAGAGGATGCTGAATCTTCTATCTGATGGAATTTTTATATTTAACCTCCAACCTGCAACACTTTTAACAACCCCACAGAGTGTCCAACTCCAGCCAGGCTTCCCCATGAGCGGACAGCCACTACTGGTGCTGCCAGGCCACATCCCTCCCCCAAAGACAGCCCTCAGCCACCTCAAGGATGCAGAATCTGCCGCATGGCCAGTTTTATTTACTTTGCAATCCTGGCTTGCCCAGGGGCCACCACCCCCCGTAGTCCAGCCCCCCCAGCTCACCCGCAGCATGGGGCTTTGCCGCTGCCCTTCTCCCCCGCATTTTTCCAGCCTTGAGAAAACAATCAGAACTTTGCTGTTCTGTGGTTTCCTTGGCAACCCCATTTCCCCATCCTCTCACTTTATGCATCTGTATCTCCCCTGGCCCCGGTCACCGACCCCCACAGCACAGTGGCAGGTCTCTGTGCACAGGGATGGAGCAGGAGATGATGTGTCTTGTCTACCACCAGGACAGCTGATCCCAGAGGGACCCTCTGGAAAATTCCCACTCTGTCTCATCTCAGCCAGGGCTTCCCAAGCACCTGGGCTTATTGGAAAGGAATGGAGCAGCTGGTGGTGGTTCGTGTCTCTGAACTGAACTGAATTAAAGCAGTTTTGGAGCCAGTCTTTATCTCTCAGTGTGGGTCCTAGTGCTCCTGCTGTGCACAGGGTACCCAGAGAAGCTGTGGCTGCCCTATCCCTGAAAGTGTCCAAGGCCAGCCTGATCAGGGCTTGGAGCAACCCATTCTAGTGGAAGGTGTCCCTGCCCATGGCAGGGGTGGAATGAGAAGAGCTTTAAGGTCCCTTCCAACCCAAAATATTCCATGATTCCATGACTGGCAGTCTCTGCAACAAACTGAGCAGATTCCCCTGCTCATTCCTACGCTTTCTTCCAATCAATAGGTAATGATCCCTTAGGCACAAGCACTCACTGCCTCCCCAGACCTCAAGCTTTTTGTTTTAATAAACCCCTAAGCACTGTTTTTCCTAAATTCAAGGTGCTGCCTCTGCTAGAAGGGCAGGAGAATGCAGGGCTTTGGGTCTGGATTCCGTAGGGGTGCTTGTCAAAGGATGCAGTGGTATGGTGGTCCCCAAACACCCCAGGAACCAGGCAGGGGTAACCAGCAGGACACTCCCAGCATTGAATGAGACACAAATAGCACTGAAATACAGGAGGAAAAAATTGCTGAGCCTCCTTCTGGTTCCAGCCCCAGGTTGGGATGCAAATGGAATTTTCTTTCTATTTCATTTTTTTGTCTTGATGTGAGTGATTCAATTGCTTTGGAGCAGCTCTGAAAAAATTAGTGATTGCCCAGGACAGCCACATGATCCAGCCTGGATCTTCAGCCAAGCCAAAATACTTGGAGCAAAGCCATGGATTTGAGCTGACTGGGTATTTGCTTTGGGGTGTTTTTCTTGGGAGAAAAAAAAAAAAAAAAAAAAAGAAAAAAAAAAAAAGGAGAAAAATCACTTTTCATCTGCAGTATTTGCAGTCCATTGGAAGGAAACGATTCGTTGAGGTGTATGGCTGCAATTCTGCACACCAGGCTTTGTGATGATTAAAAGCATCAAAAAAGCCCAAACTGGACTGAGGCCTTTATTTCTAAAGTGAAATGTATTGTATGAAAAATTACAGAATATACCTTTCCTAAAGAAAAACTCTGTGCCTTTTCTTTTTCCTGGCCAGAGAGGTTTGCTGAGTCTGCAGAACACTTTGATCTAAGCCTGCCTAAAATCACAGTGCTTGGCATGGACCTTTTTTTTCCCCTCCATTAGCTGAATACTCAGAGAACTGAGCAAAGATCCCCCATTAAATGCAAAAATCCCTCCACAAAATACATTTTTTCCTCACTTTCAGCTGGAACCATGCACACTTTTCCCTCTTATAGCCAGGATGGAGGAGATGACAGCAAAAAAACCCTAATAAATGCTATAACCCCCCCCCCCCCAATTCCCTCAAACCGCACAAATTCCCATCTCTGTGCTTCCCACATCGACCTAAATATTGCAGAGGAAAAAAAAAGACATTGGCTTTTTTGCCTGATGCTTTTTTCCCTCCCTGCCAGGAGCTCTTGGGTGCTCGGCAATTAGGAGCTGTGGATTAATCTTGAGTGATATAATGAAGTGCCAGGTGGCTGGAGGACCGAGCTGGTGAACAAGGGGGGAGGGGAAGGGAGGGACAGTTGCTCTACAGACTGACATGATTTAGGACAGGTTTAGTGCAGGCAGAGCACCCAAAGTGATGGGAAAGAGGAAGAGGAGCCCGGGGGGGCTCAGTGGGATATTCAGGCTCATCCCTACTCTGTGATCCTCTGCATCAAAATGCATGGATCAGGCAGGGCTTGTGTTGCAGAGGAAAAATCATCTTTGCACATTTTCTAACCCTCATTTGCTTGTAACGTCCCCAAAGTATCTTTCCACCTGCTTTACACCATCCCAGTCTCCCAGCCCCACGTCAATTATTTATTGAGGAAAAATGCCCCAGGAGGGCAGGTTGGCAGCTCTTCCCCCAGCCATATCTGTGCCCACTTTCATAGTCATACAACCATGGAGTTCTTGGAGTGTGAGGGGACCTTAAAGCCCATCTAGTCCCACCCCCTGCCACTAAACCAGGTAACTCCAAGCCCTGTCCAGCCTGGCCTTGGACACTTCCAGGGATAGGGCACCCACAGGGGCTCTGTGGAGCCCGTGCCAGGGCCTCTCCATCCTGACAGGGAAGAATTCCTTCCCAATACCCCATCTAACCCTGCCCTCTGGCAGTGGGAAGCCATTCCCCTTGTCCTGCCACTCCAGACTCTTGTAATTAGTCTCTGTCTGTCTTTCTTGACAGCTCCTTCAGGTGCTGGAAGGCCACAATTAGGTGACCTCAAAGCCTCTTTTCCAGGCTGAACAATCCTACCTGTCTCAGCTCTTTGCCTTTTCTCCAAGGTCTCTGGAAGCCTGAAAGTTGAGAGCAGCTGGCACTGAGGGCCACATTCTTCCAACAAAATGTCTTGTCTTTCCAAAATGAGAATATAAATAGTGCGTCCTGTAAAAACGTCATTACCCAGGAGCCGTGCCACCAGCGCCGGCCACGCGCAGCAAACCCATCACCCACAGCAGCCAATTTATTCCCAACTCTGGCAGGGTCAGCAGCCATCAGGGAAACAAATGCTAATTAATAGCACTGTGCAAAGCAGCCGGTCTAGGCATGGCATGTAATTAGTGAGCCAGCTGAACCCGCCACAGTGCTGGGGCTGTGGGGAAAGAGCAGCCACGGAGGAGGGACCCGCTGCAGCTCCCAGCTATAACTCAGGATGAGGGCACTGATTGTGCTGGGACACGTGTGTCACGCTGCCATCAGTGTGGCTGTGACACTCCGTGCATGTGCTCCCATCCCTCTGATCCCTACACCCCCCTCCCTGGTCCAGCCCCATCCCTGCTGTCTCCTCGACGTGCTCCCTCTGCACAGACGTTTTGCAGGTAAACGTGACAATTCCTCGGGGCAGGAAAGATGCTTGAAATATAAAAACTCCTGATGGTGGGAGATGCAGAGCCCAGGGAGGAATCTTGCTAATGCCCTTACATCTCTGCTGTGGTGAGTCATCCAAGGCCCTCAGAGGATCCCGGCTGTGCTTGGATACGGGGAAGGTAGAAGCACAAGGCAAAATGAGAAATTGCTTTGCTCAGAAGATATCTCGGTTACAGCAAGGACTAAAAACTGTCCCCTTGGCACCCACCCTCAGCTCTGGTCCCACAGCCATGGGGAAGAGGGGGTGTTGTGTTGTTGTGTGGGTAAGAAGGGCCCCATTTGTGGGAGAAATGGGAACACTTAGCCTAGAACATTCAAGTTGTTAATGGAATGCAGTTATTAGTGGAAGGGAGGAGGATGGGTCTTTCCATCAGGCTGATGGGAAAAATCCATTCTGGGATTGAGAATTAGGTTGGAACATCACCTTGAAGATGGTTTTGGGCAAACACTGCCTCCTTCATCCCTGGCG